GGGGGAAAATGCCATATCCATTAGGAATGCCATATTTATGGCAGATTTAATGAAAACTTTGACATTCTCAAAGAGTAATATGTCATTTTTGGACTTCACAGTTTCAACTTTCTTAATCTCGAAACAAAGTCAAAACAAGAGTTTATTACTCCCTCCGTCCCTATAGAAAAGTATCCATTCGTTTTCCACACATTTTAAGAAAGTGTTGTTTGTTGGTACTGTTTGGACACTTTTTAATACTACCTCCGTCTCAAAAAGGTTTGACATATTGATTTTTCTTGGTCAATGATGCATGACAAACTTTGGACAATGATTTTAATTATTATATTTGTATACTCCCTCCGTTCCTAAATAAACTTCCAATTTTCCTTTTTCGTCCGTTCCAATTAAAACTTCCACTTTCCCTTTTTGTTAAAGAATTTGTGGTTCACAACATTTCTTACACATTTCTCTCTCCTCTGCACAATTCTCCACCACACAATATCCATTATCTTAAACTTTGTGTCAAACCCATTTGAAAGTTAAAATGGGAACGGAGGTAGTATAATTTATAAATTTTATACTTTTATAAAAATATTTTGAATAAGGAACATTTTGATATAATTTTCAAATTCTAAATAATTTCATATTAAAAAATATCATTGATCAAAGATGATTGTCATTGACCAAGAAAAGTTAATTTGACAAACCTTTTCGGAATGGAGGGAGTAATGTTTGCAATGTTTTGTTTGAAAAAAAGGAAATAAAAATTTTATTTAGAGACACAAGTAGTATAATAGAGAAGGTGAATATCACAATTGACACACCTCTTGTAACAGCCAATTGAAAGAGATGCATGTACACTAGAACTGGACGTACGCATCACAGGGCCTCAAAGTTATCAAGACTCTGACACGTTATTTGTATATTATGTACTCCTCCCGAAATTATCTTCATATTTTCCTTTTTGCTCCGTCCCAAATTTATCTCTTTTTTCTCTTTTTGGTAAAGAATATGTGGTTCACAATCATTCTTACACATTTCTCTCGCCTCTGCATAACTCTCCACCACACAAATCTCACTATCTTAAAACACGTGTCCGGTCAAAACCGGGGTTAAATCTTGATATAATACGAAAAAGACATTTTTTTACAAATAATCACACGAAACAGTTAATTTATAATTTTAATTAACGTATAACAGTATTAATTCAAATCATGGTTCAAAGTTGAACTGAATAAATACAAAAATACTCCAATCGTTATAGTACAATTTTTCGTGGGATGGGGAAGTACAAATGACTAGCTGGGTGGATGTCAATTTACATTCCAACTTGGTACAAATTTGAAGGAAATTACAATAAGGCGACATATATCCAATCACATTTATCCCGTATTGCCTACATTATTTGCTTACGAGTTACGACACTGCCAAAAGGAATTGTACAAATGTCACTTTGCATCATTATTGGCCCTATGGTTTCATGCAACAAATTTGTAAATAGTCACTCTTACACACTTACACAGTACACACAAAGTGTGACCCCCAAATCCAATATCCCAAAATTAATGAAGACCTAAAAACTAATGTAATTTGTTTTACTTAATTCAGAAAACGTGCAATGGGTATAAGACCGTACGTTCCTGTAGGTTAAGGAGTTTGAGGGAAGGACGGATAAATTTGAAGGAGGAATTTGATTTTGCACCTCACTTTTTGGGTGAAATTGGATTTTGCACCTCATTTTGAAAAAATTTGATTTTACACCCCAACATATAACATTTTGTGAAGAAATATTTCTGAATGGGGTGCAAAGTCAAAGAATTTTTAAGTGAAATGAGGGGCAAAGTCAAAGTCAAAAAATTTGAAAGTATGTTATTGGAAGAGAAAAATGAGGGGAAGGTGAAAAAACCCTATCACCTTCCAGTAATAAAATTGGAAGAAAAGAGTTTTTGAAAAATTATAAGCAAAATCACTTTAAGATATAATGAATTCAAATAATTGAACTAATATTCATTTTAAAATGATCTTAAATTATCATTTCTTTAAATTACCATTCAAAACCTCCAAATTGAGGATTTTTTTTGGCCGGCCAAATTGGGCAACTTAAAAGTTGAACATTGAGATGGTTTTGAAAAGCCCTCTTTAACTATCCCACCAAATTTTTAAACTGCCAAATATGAAATGGAGGGTCATAAACCGTATCAACATTGTCCTCTCCTACAGAATCTAACTCTCAAACAAACCCTTAATTGTCTTAAATAGATTCCATTTTTTCTTTCGATTTAATAAATTTGAAGTAAATGGTATTTCCTCCTTTACATAAATTTTTAAATAGAAATTGCTCTAAATAGGAGCAAAAACGTTCTACAAATCTAAAATAAGAGTATCATGTATTTTATTCTCTGAATATGAGTAATCTGCCAAGTTTGAAAAAAAACATGTTTTAAAGCCTAGTAATGCCAAACTTGGAAAAATTTACTCCTATTCAAGAAATAAAAAACATGATGGTCCTATTTTTGAATTTCAAAACTTTTTTACTCATATTTAGGGATGACGAATAGTATATCCGGGGGATACTGCTGAAGGGTATCTGGAGAGAAGTCAGAACAAGTAATAAAGAGAGTAGATGTATATTAAATGAGCTCAAAAGTTTGATCGATTACAATGGAAGAGTGACTGCTATTTACATAAATGCTAGGCTCATTTAATGCGAGTACACGTGTCAAACAATCAACGGTGGAGGGTTAACTCAACCAGGGTGACGCCGACATAGCATGTGGCACCGCATTTAATGTGGTGGTTGGACGTGACATCGCATTTAATGCGGCGATCCAGAGCGTGCAGGGAGGAGATCTTGTCGGGATAGTGCTAAAGGCCGCACGTACCCCAGAGGCCTTCATGTGCCGAAGGCCGTACGTACCCCGGGACCCTTTATGTGCCGAATTCCGTACGTAGCCGGGGGCCATCATGTGCTTAAGGTCGTACGTACCTCAGGGGCCTTCATGTGCCGAACGCCGTACGTCCCCGGGGACCGTCATGTGCCGAAGGCCGTACGTATCGCGTCCTTCATGTGCCGAAGGCTGTACGTATCGGGGCCTTCATGTGCCGAAGGGCGTATGTACCAGGGGGTCGTCATGTGCTGAAGGCTGTAAATACCGAAGGCTTGTAATTTTAGCCTTGGTTCCCAGTGGTGTTTGTGGACCAGGTGTAAATGTTTCCCGTATATGGAGCCTTTGGGCATGGGGTCGAAGGCAACACCTTGTTGTAGTATGAGCTGACCAGAGTCTTGTTTGCTCTGTTTGAGCCACTTGGGCCTGTTGAGCCTATTCATAGTAGTGGAAGTATGTGGGCTGGGGGGTTCCTGGGCCATATACTCCATCAAGGGAATTCTCCCATTTTTAAACCATTATTTTTTTTAACTTTTTTATTTCATGTTCCCCTCAATTTCGTTGAGGAAAACATAATACTCCATTGGCCCTTGTAAAATTTATCACCTTACTATTCATATAATCATAACTTGATCATTTCTGTTAAATGCTCTCATTATAAATATACTTCCCTAGTCCTAAATAAACTTCACATTTTCTTTTTTGGGTAGATCCAAAATAAACTTCACACTTCTATTTTTGGAAAGTTTTTAATATAAAAGTACCCTTATACCCTTACTTTATTACCTACTTTACACCTACATCCTCTCTCCCACTACAGTTTATCAACTTTTTGTAGGGATATGGTGGGAAAGCCAAAACAAAAAGTTCTACTTTCTTAAAACCGTAAAGTCCAATCATGAAGATTATTTATGACCGGAGGGAGTAATATTCATTTTGCGTCATATTAGACTATGATGTTTGAGATTCTGTAGAAGGTTTAATTAGTGTATCTATAAAATGTAAATTATACCCATACATTGCGTTTTTATTTATCTCTAAAACTTTAACACTATCGTTTTAAAGTAATAAATTTTTCGTTTTTAGTTATCTTTGTTGTACAAGTTCACCCCGGGTTTATGACTTTCTTATTTTAAACACACTTTAAAGTTGTCAATGTTCAAGGAAACGGAAGAAATATTAATTTATTAATATAAATATTGCTAGTATAAGAAGAAAAACACTATTGGTACATAAAATTTGTACGCGTTTGGCACACTATAATGTGTATAGAAACATTTTGTGTATAGATGAATGTAAAATATATACAAAATGTGTATACCTCCTAATTGTCTATTTACACATAAAACTCGTTTAAAAACTAGCAATTGTCTAATGTCTATTTATAAATGAGAATGAGCAAAATATATATTCCCTCCGATCCTTAATTAACTTTACACTTTCCTTTTCGGATCGTCCCATATTAAACTTTACACTTCCTTATTTGCCTTATTTGGCAAACAAATCTACACCAAACAGTGCAATATAGTGCTAAACAGTGCTAAACAGTATCAAACAGTGTATTCTACAGTAAAGTCAAATTTATTTTCTTAATATGTGTAAAAGTCAAAGTGTAAAGTTTAATAAGAATCGGAGGGAGTAAAACAATGATTGGTATTAGAAATGCTTTAGCTTATCATTATTATCCAAAAATTTACAACCTTCAATAACAATCGTGGAACACAGGCCTTTATTATTGGAGAGCATTTTACTTTATTCAATCTTTATATAACCGCATTTATTATTGTGTGATATGAATGGACATATGATAACAGTTAAGGGTACCTGGAGACATGGAGTCACCGGCCGGCAATGGACCAGCAAAGAAAGGACCCAACTTCCCGAGAGACTCGCGCGGTTCGCTCGAAGTCTTCAACCCATCAACCTACTCTTCTCGCACCACTAACCCGGTCTTCCAATCGTCGTGGAACACCTGGGATGAACCGCCGCCGGCGACCGTCGCTAGTACTATTGCACAGCCGCCGCCACCCCATCCGCCGCTAGGTGAACTTTTCTCCAGATCTTCTGACAGTAGCGCTAATAATGCCGAGGAAATCGGCCCGTGGATGGCCATCAAGGAACCTGCTCCGCAGCTTTCCGCCGCCATCAAGTCTCCGGTGAAGAAAGCGAATGAGGTCGGCGCCGCCGCTGAAAGGGCCGCAGAGTGGGGACTTGTTCTCAAAACTGACGACGAGACCGGTAAGCCTCAAGGGGTTAAAGTCAGAACCTCCGGCGAAGAGGCGAACAAAAGGGTCTCCGGCAACTCTGTCCGGAGCTCCGGCGATTCGTACGATGAAGGAACCGGTAAACTCATCACCTACTACTCTTTTACTCCAAATTCATTACTTTGATTCAAGTGTCCTGTAGTAATTTTTTACTTGATAAATACGGAGTAATACGGAGTAATTTTTTTCGTCACTAATTGTAAATTTGAAGAATAATAATCATACTTAGACAATTTAGTTTTCTCAAAGTTCTAATGGAATACGGAGTATGTAGACGTTATATTTAAGCTCAAATGTGACTTGTTATTTTTTCTTTCCTAAATATGAGTCAATAATGCCAAAATAATTACCCTGCTAGTCATTAACATACGTAATAATAACATGACAATAATTATTACCATTGATGACAATATTTTTCAATTGTATTTCTGAAAGAAAAACATATGTGTTCTTAGTTGGAATTCCATATACTCCGTAGTTTTTATTCTTATTCAGAGTAATTCCTCATAATATAATTACTTTACGGCTCCGTTTGGCCAAAATTGTTTTATCCTCCCTTAATGTATGAAATATAATTAATTCACTGTTTGTCAACCCATTTATTTTACATTTTTACCCCAAATATGAAATTCAGCCATTTCAATTTTAGAAATTGCTCTAAATAGGAGCAAAAACGTTTTGAAATTTCAAATTATGAGTATCATGTTTTTTATTCTCAGAATAAGAGTAATATGGCAAGTTTGAAAAAAATATCATGTTTTAAAGCCTAGTAATGTACAATTTGACAGAAATTTACTCATATTCAAGAAATAAAAAACATGATAACTCTGTTTTAAAATTTTAAAACTTTTTTACTTTTATTTAAGAAATTCTCTCTTTCAATTTTCATTGAATGCTCACAAAGGTGCAGGGAAAGAGAAGGGAATTCCAAGAATCTCGGAGGATCTTAGGGATGCTTTATCCGCATTTCAACAAACTTTTGTGGTGTCGGATGCAACTAAACCCGATTACCCGATTATGTATGCCAGTGCTGGATTTTTCAAGATGACCGGTTACACCTCCAATGAAGTCATTGGCAGGAATTGGTAGATACTTCTTTGTATGAGTAGCTTTTAATGGTCATAACAGTAATTTAATTTAGATCTAGAGATTGTCTTACCTTGACCTTGTTTCTAAATGTTGCTGGTTTGGTGGGTCGGGGCAGTCGGTTCATGCAAGGTTCGGATACGGATCCCACGGACGTGGCCAAGATTCGGGAAGCTTTACAATCAGGGTCAAGTTATTGTGGGAGATTGTTGAATTACAAGAAAGACGGCACAGCCTTTTGGAATCTCCTCACCATTGCTCCTATTAAGGATGAAACTGGCAAAGTACTCAAATTTATTGGGCAAGTATCCATTTCCTTCTCACATAATACTCCTATCTTCAGGAGCTTAATCGGGAAGGCAGTCAAATGAAGTTTTGAGAATAACTGCGCAGTTGAGCAACGCAGTACATTTCAGAAAATCATTTGATTATCTTCCTGATTAAATTTTTATCTGAAATTTGGTATGGGTAAAGTAAACTTAATGAAGAAGATGCTCAAAAAGTTTCATAAAAAAATTACACCGGAAATCATCCCAAATGGCGACGGCCGGATAGAGCCTCTTATGTAAGGGGTGATTTGCACTTTTTAAGTTAGTTCGAGTGTTTATTTCACTCTTTTCCCTAATCTTTATATTTTGAGATGTTTATTCCATTTGAAGACGGTTACATCCGAACACACAATAGCAATAGCGTTTTTTAACAAATATGGTAAAAAAATAGTGTGAAATTTGAAAACAAGTTTATTAGAGAGTATGTTTTCATTGAAATAATCCAAAATACTGTCATTATAACATTAGTATTGTTATATTAATACCTCACAATGTCAAAATATGGTAATAAGATATTTTGATGACAATAATTTAATGTTCTTTCAAGAACAATACAATACTCATATTTTCGAATGTAATATTATTTGAACCCTATTTCGTAATGCTTCCCTTTTTCTAAAGAAACACGCACCATTTTGCCATTCATTTCTTGTCAAAATTTGTAGGATTTTGAGCATTTTACAATTGTAGCTCTAATTAATACAAAAATGATATTTGTACACACTCTTATACACACTTTTGTACACACCTATGTCGTTGAAAGCTTTTTTTTGTCTGTGAACATCGATTCACAGATAATGTTTTGCACAAACAAAATATTGTCTGTGAACCGGATTCACCGACAAAAAAAAGTTTCACAAACATTGTGTGTATAAGGTGTGTACAAGGACGTGTACAACCATGGTCGTAATTAATATTCGGAATTTTGACATATCCAATCACATGTTAGTGTAGACTTTATCGCATAGGCTCTATTTTGTACCAACCTAACTAACGGGACCATCAATAATTTAACTGATAGGAATTGATTAAATGGGCCAAAATCAAATGGCCTCCCTAGTCCCTATTTTGGTTACAAGGAGTAAAGTTATATGCATTGCTTCATGTATGGTGATTCATGTGTATGTGTTTGGCATAACTAATTCAAAATTAAAGATATGAGCTACTTGTATTTAATAACATTTTGTTTCAATGACCGAAGAGATCTTAAATGAGAACGATGGTAACTATTTGTTAAAAATTGATTGTTTAATTTAGTACTAAAATTAAAGCTACATACGTTTTCTTAGAATCTATATTAGTGTAGCTTCTGATAAAAGATCTTTTATTTTTAACCATTCATTATTGTCGTATTAAATATACAATACGAAACTTATATAGACATTTTAATTTAAATAATAGTGAGTCATGAGTCATGACTCTTGGAAAATCGGAATAGTAGTGAGTTGTTCTAAGACCGAAGTTGATATTTAAATCAAAGTTAAACGTACTTTTCGCAGAATGCAAGTGGAGGTTAGCAAGCACACGGAGGGATTAAAGGAAAAAGTGGTCCGTCCAAACGGCCTTCCAGAATCATTGATCCGATACGATGGTAACATGAAAATTTATTCCCCACTAAGGATGTTTTTACTAGATCAGATCATACCATGAAAATTCGTCCCAGATCAGACCAGCCCAGATTAGACCAGATCATACTAGACTAGACCAGACCAGTTCAGATCAGACTAGTTCAGACCAGATCAGACCAGCAAATTACAGTCCAAGTAAAAACATCTTAAGTTCAATAAAGCTTTTTCCCAAACCAATGATCCTATACTTTTTGAACTCAAATATTAAGAAAGAGTGATAGAATGACCTATATAACATTACTTTATTATACTTTTCACTTCTTTGCTTTTATTATCCCTAAAAAGGAGAATATAAATGGTAATCTACGTTAATTTCTTTACAAAAAAGGAAAACAAGAATATCATTTTGGGACATTCGAAGTATTAAAAAAGTTGTTTAAAAGATGTTCAGAGTTTAGACGTCCCATCAACGAATTTGAACTAAATTTCATGCTTTTGGAAACAACTTAATCGTATTGTTTATTTCTACTTCATAACAAGAATGTAAGTTTTCAAATAACTCAAGTGTTTATCGTGTAATTTAAAAAAAAATCAATAAAAATGTGACGTATATATTATTTAGTTTGATCATATTGAAACAAACTTTACTACAATAATGTCTATTAGCCTCGTTATTAAATACTCAAACATGATTAGAATGCTCTTAAATTTTCTTCAATTCGTTTCACTCACCTTTTATAAACTCACAATATATATGCAATGAAAACACAACAATTTCGGTATTGGTTTAGAAAATGAAATCCAACCAATTAAAATACTAACATACCGTATATACATTAACGTAATGATTCATTTCTATTTTTATTTGCGAAAAATAAAATCGTAAAGAAAATAACAAATTATTCCCTCCGTCATAAAATTCTTCCAGCTAACTTTTACGGAATATAAAATTTTGTTTGGTTAACTTTCATTTATTTTTTTGTTACTCAATAATAATCGTGCATTTCCATTTTATTCAGCTCGACAGAAGGAAGCTGCCACAAATACAGTGATCGATCTAGTTGAGGCAGTGAAGAAGCCTTCCCGATCAAGAGCACTTAGCGAATCCACTCACAATCATCCTTTCCTCCGGAAGTCCAACGGCGGTAGCGAAAAAGAACGTTCTGACGCCATTAATGATGACGGAAGCCGGAATTCAGAGAGCAAAACTCCGCCGGCTAGGCGCCACTCCCATGCCGGCACGAGAACCTCCTTGAAGAAGATGGAGAAGATCAGCGAAGTTCTTGACGAGAAGAAGCCCAAGAAAGCTAGGCGTCCCTCTTTCATGAGGTAATTAATAGAAATTTAAATGACTTTATTAAATTATTTCAAATAACTTTTTATGTTGGGTTATATTGCGAAAAATTCTCTAAATATGATTCAAACGTACTCTGTAGTACATTTATCAAATAAATTTGTGATTGTTTTTATTAAAATTAGACTTATTGATTCCTAATATGAGAAGTTTGTACGCCATTATATTGTACTTGAACTTTGACTTTTTCAAAAAAATGTGTTACATTAATTTTTTCATTCAAAGATGCGATACCTTGACCGATAATATATTTATATAATGAAAATATTTATAGTAAGAAAGTGATATGAAAATGTTCGTTATTAAAAATACTACTCCCTCCGTCCCAATTTGTAAGATACTTTACGGTTTACGATGTTTGATCGACTATAAAGCAAATTGATCTCTGTCAACACTCAAATTAATTTTGGAAAATAAAATCTACATATTCAGAAATTATATTAAAACCGCTACAAAAGCTGCAAAAAACAATTCAAATTTCATAAACTTTTAATATAAAAAGTAAATACTAATATAAGAGTAAAATTTATACATTTCACTAACATACACTCTTATAAGAGTATTATAAGAGTAAAATGATTGACTTGAAAAGTCAAAGATAACTATCTAAAAATGGACATATGTAGTACGAAGTAAAGTATTAATTAATCTTCTAAAAGGATAGATGAGTCATATATTTTTGTGAAAAAATACATTTATCCTTACTTTTGCATATAGTTCATGGCTGATTTCTATTTTGTTTAATATACTTAAATATTTTGTATATTATGTATAGGAAGTTAAAAAAATCTCGACCAAGTACTAGTAGCTATGAGGATAACTTCGAGGCGAATTTCACCATGCACGACGATGAAGATGATGTTGACTTGGAGAGTGACGACAATGATGCACGACCAGACAGCGTTGATGACAAAGTGAGGAGAAAGGAGATGAGAAAGGGTATTGACTTGGCCACCACTCTCGAACGTATTGAGAAGAACTTTGTCATTACCGATCCCAGGCTGCCTGATAATCCCATTGTAAGGTTTTCTGATATATTGGTATTGGCACTAGCAATTGTTATTATTGTTCGTTTTCCTACTACCATTATATTTGTTCTGTATTAACTTTAAATATAAGGAAAACAATAAAAAATCCATAAATAAGCCCAAATTATTATTCATTTTTATATAAAAAATGGTTTTATTTTTTAAATATAACTAATTCACCCTTAAAAAAAACTCCTTAATATTTTATTAGTCTTAGATGGGTTCTATTTAAAAAATTAAAATGGAGTCCTGTTTTGTATATTTTTTTTCATGTTTTGCACTTATATGTATCCATTCTGACATTCTGTCATCTCAAAATAGTTAATAATTCCTTTTCAAGAAAACTGACTTATTTATCGGAAAACTATAAAATCATGATATTTAGAATCATATATTGATTCTAACCTTGTTATACATGCTAACATGCAATATATGCTAAACATTGATCTTTGTGTACTTACAATCAATAAATTTGTATTTGATCAGATATTTGCATCTGATAGCTTCTTAGAGCTTACAGAGTATAGTCGTGAAGAGATTCTTGGAAGAAATTGCAGGTGCATTCTTTCTCCAAATTATTAGTCATCTTTTTACCCCAAAAATATTAGTCTGTCTTAATACACATTGATCCCCTTTTTACTGAATCTTTATAATAATAAAATTCATAGATTAAGATATGATTAAATGATCATAAAATGTGATATCTGATCATAGTGACTAGATAGTAAAAAACATCACAATAGTGTCATATCATTGTTAAAATATATATTGCTGATGTAACACCCTTTTTTTAGAGTTGCTGAAATGAAATTAACTGATCACTTTACCTTTAAGAGTAAAGATGCTGAGTTTAACCCTGTATTAATTATCGGTTAAATATAGTCTATTATCATTTCAGAGATGCCAAACTTTAATCCTATTTTTATCAGCACTCTAGAAAATCACCCTTTTTCTCATCCACATATTTTGCCTTTTTTTTGCAAAAAATTGCAAAAAGCATTTCTAGTCGATTTTGTGTGTTCTTTTAGAGTATGTTTGAGAATTGAATTTTGGAGGAGAATGAAAGATGGACGGAGATTTATGACCCACTTCTTAATGTTTGGGAGTTTAAAAAGTTGGAACCTCTAAAACCCTTTAAATCCTTAATTTTTAAGTTCCCCAATTTAATGGGTTTTGATGAATAATCAATTCAATTATTTAAACTCAATTTAAAATGAACATCGATTCAATTTAAATAAAATGAAATTCTTCATATCACAAAATGATTTTAAATAAAATTGTTTGTCTACTACAACTTACTCTCAAAGTCTTCTTCTCCCCTCCTTCCAAAGTCCAAACTCCCAAACATACCCGGTTAGTAAGAAGAAATAAACATGAATGTAATTTATTATTAATTAATCTTCCCATCTCCCTATAATTTGATAAATTTTTATTGAGAAATTACCCAAAATAGGACTAAAATCGTTTGTATATTCCAAAATAGGACTGTCATATTTTTATTCCTAAAATAGGACTAATTACTGTCATTTTTGGCAGTAACAGACTTTAAACATGACAATATTTTTCAAACTTGACAATAATTACTCCTATTTTGAAAATAAAAACATGACAATCCTATTTTGAAATTTTCAAATTTTTTTAGTCTTATTTGGAAAATTTTCCAATTTCTATTTCCAAATGACACTGTTTGTAAGACTGACTGATTGTAGTTTCGGTAGCCAACCGCCGGTGGAAAAGACGGCCGGCCATGACCGGAGCCCTGACAATAATTCGCATCTGTTTGTAACCATTTCAACTTACAATGGACTGTAATGCAGATTTCTTCAAGGACCCGAAACTAATCCAGCCACAGTACGGAAAATCAGAGAAGCAATTGATACTCAGACCGATGTCACCGTCCAGCTCATCAATTACACCAAGACTGGTACTCCGCTCTCCTCCTTATTTGCTTTTCCGGCGTTGAATTGGTCTTCTTATTTGAATGGTGCTGTAAATTGATTAGTTAGCTGATTATAAAATTTTCTTCTGGAATTCAGGGAAGAAGTTCTGGAACTTGTTCCATTTGCAGCCTATGCGTGATCAAAGGGTATTAAACACTTTTTCTCCTTACTCATCTTAATACTCTGAGGTGCCATTTTATCTGTTTTTCTTTTCTCTGTGTGTAGGGAGAAGTACAATACTTTATTGGAGTGCAATTAGATGGAAGCCAACATGTTGAACCGCTTTATAACTGTATTCCTCAGGACAAGGCGAATGAGAGTGCTCAGCTGGTTCTACCCTCAACTCTAACTTGATGTTTTTTTGCTTCTTTTCATGCTTGATTGTATGTACAATAAGTTGTGTCATTATTGTATGTACAAGAAAACTAATGTCCAGTTCAAAACCCTATATTCATGTTTATGAGAGAGAAATAGAGTAATGCAGTAATGAAACATCATTTTTTTAAAATTGCTGAAATGAAACAAATGGTCATTTTACCTTTAAATTCAAAATATGATTTCTTTGTTTTAAGTAAAACATGTACTGCAAATTTCCAATATTTTTGCATAAGTTGGCAACTTTTTCAACTATAAGGCCACAGGTTTTACAACTTTAGCCATTTCAGGCATGCTCATCACTATTGCTGTTTTTTTTTTCGATTTTTAGGTAAAGAAAACAGCTGAAAATATTGATGAAGCTGTCAGAGAACTTCCCGATGCCAATATGGTAATTCCAGACTTTGGAAAGAGAATTCCGAGTTACTTTCACATTATTTATTGTACAAATGAGAGAATATGAAGCTTACAAAGTATGTGTTCTCTCCCAACCTGCAGAAACCAGAGGATTTGTGGATGAATCATTCAAAGGTGGTTCACCCAAAGCCTCATAGGAAGGATACCCCATCATGGAAAGCTATTCAGAAGGTATATTTATACTATATAAAATGTTACACTCACAGCTCACTCTTGTATATAATATTAAACACTGCAGAAAAAACTTCACTATCAGTATATTTATTTCGATTTGGTTTTCTGTGATATATGCTACTGTGTGTGGTAAGTGCAGATTCTGGCTAGTGGTGAAGAAATAAGCCTAAAGCATTTCAGACCAGTAAAACCACTGGGGTCTGGTGATACTGGCTATGTGCACTTAGTGGAACTATGTGAAACTGGTCAATATTTTGCTATGAAAGCTATGGATAAGAACACTATGCTCAACCGTAACAAGGTAAGATACAATGTTATTGATCCTGATGCTCATGGTATTTGTCTATTGATGACAATATCTAAGAGCTCGTTGAGTGGGAGTTATCTCGCTTAAATGGCCGAATCTGCTGAATGTTCAGCCAAATAAGCCGAATCAGGCAACCAAACGGGCTCTAAGATTCTTTCATAGTTTTTATTGTGCAAATATTCACTAAAATTTATAGGATTTATTATGGTTGGTGTTCACTTGCTGTTCTTGTTATTGTTTATATTTTTTCTTAATCTTTTTTGGCTTCGCTCATTCCTTTCATTTGTTGCAGGTTCACAGGGCTTGTGCAGAAAGAGAGATCCTTGATATGTTAGATCACCCATTTCTACCTGCACTATATGCTTCATTTCAGGTCAGCTGAATTAAACTCGGTGATTTTTAGTGTAATAATAATTTTTTACTTTAGGGTCCATTTGGTACTCAGCGAATGCTAGGCGAATAAACGGAGAGTGGATGATAATTCCTGAAGGAAAAACATGTTTTGATTTAACAAATCAATTTGAAGCATTTGCTCAAACTCTTTTTATTTATATATTAACATTTTTTAGAGACGGGTATATCTGTGTGTTAAAAAATTTTAAAAGGTCTAATCACATTCGATTTTCCATATTTTTCTAGAAACTAAACATTAAAAAACCCAATTTTCGTATTCCTATTATAGTAATATTTTCGACTTTCCAAATATAGCCTTAGTCACAATAATAAGTAGAATAAATATCAATATTCAGCACCTTTTAAATATCTATCTCTATGAAAGGAATACCTCCTTCCTTGATGTTATCTTTGTTTTTTATTTTGCATCTATGTATATCAGATTAGTTAAGTTAATGATCCTGTTGCTTTGCAGACCAAAACTCATGTTTGTCTAATAAGTGACTACTGCCCTGGAGGTGAGCTATTCCTCCTCTTGGACAGTCAACCAACAAAAGTGTTGAAGGAAGATGCTGCAAGGTATAACAAGATTTAATTTGAAAACCGTTTTTAAGCACGCAAAACAGAGGGCCGAACTGCACAACTTAAAACGGTTACAGTTTTTTGTTTGATTTGTGTTGATTTCGGCTGGTTTTGGCATGCCCTGTCAGTTTTGGTCGGTTTGAGTGATTTTTAAAGCATATCCAAACCGTGAACTAAATTGCATATGGTGTGGCTGGTTTCAGTTCTGTTTGATGGTTTGGTTTGGTCGGTCTGTTTTTGGTTCGTTGGATTTTTTTTCAATCCTGCCTTGAATAATACCTTATTACAGAGTTTCCATAAAAAAAGAGAAAAGTGTTTTGTTGCTTATAACTTAACTGCAAGTCTAAAATTACATTTCATTCTTTAGATTCTATGCTGCAGAAGTCGTAGTGGCACTGGAGTACCTTCACTGTCAAGGTATATAATGTGCAAGGATGCATGATTTATTAAAATATACAGAGTATTGCTTTATTTAGTCATTTTCTTGTGTTTAAGATATTAATGAAGTTATATATTTGCCTCCTTCAAACAGGAATAATTTATAGGGATTTGAAGCCTGAAAATGTTTTGATTCAGAGTAGTGGACACATATCATTAACTGATTTTGACTTGTCATGCTTGACATCTTGCAAGCCACAGGTATTCACACTACAGTGTCTTCTTCACAGTAATTGCAACATTTACAGTATTTCACTTGACTTAATTCATTTTTTCCATTGTGTTTGAGCAGCTTCTAGTTCGTGAAGCCAATGAGAAGAAAAAGCATCAAAAAGCCCAGCAGAATCCAATATTCATGGCTGAACCAATGCGAGCCTCAAATTCTTTTGTTGGAACTGAAGAGTATATAGCTCCGGTGAGTAGACCATGTTATTCTTGTCATTTACTTTGGGTTTTACTGGCATGTTTGTTATTACAGTTATAATCTAGTGTTGAACTTCAAATAAAATGTGCTGAAAATATTTCAAGTACAATCTTTTAGATGGTAGTACCAATTTAGTTCTGAGAGTTATTTCAGCGTTTATGAATTATGACTTATGATACACTCCCTCCATGCCCTTGTATAAGGCTCAATTTTGGGTTTCACAAAGAACAAGAAAATTATTAAAAGCATTTCAATTTTCAAATAATCTTTACTTACTAATATGTCCTAAATGTAAATTGATAATGCAAGATCTAATTATACATAGGACAGCCCTATAATAGTTTTACGAATAGGTAGGTAGGGAATACTGAAGCTGAAAATCCGATTTAGTGCCTTCACACTATGTACTATTGCAATTTGTTCATCATACATATGTTGTTCGAAATAAGAAGAGATTTTTGCATTTATTTCGAACTCAGTTTGGCTCTTAAGTGTTAACTATGGCCCACTTTAGCACTCTGTGGTCGAACATAATAAGCTTCTTAATAACAACTAAACATGATGCATGAAGGCTAAATTTGGTCTAAATTGCTCAGATGTGGACCAAATAATCGAGTTCAAAAGAGAAGCATTGAAAAAATTGAGTAGGAAAGACAAAATTAGATATTAACTCTAAATTAACCCTTCCACAATAAAAAACTTTTCACTCTTTACTTCTAAAATTGCAGGAAATCATAACTGGAGCAGGGCATACTAGTGCAGTAGACTGGTGGGCTCTTGGTAAATCCTATGAATATTACTCTCATAAGTAAAATCAAGAATAGGGTCATAACACCCGCACGGGTAGCTCAGTTGGTCGAGTGGTGGGAAAAATTGGACGTAGACCAAGGTTCGAATCCCGCAGCGGCCAAAAGGGGGTTTTCAGAACCTGAAATAAGGCTGGCCCTCTAGTGCGCACGGGTAAAGGCCTACTGCCGCTTTGCCGACTGAGTCACCGTGATTTACTCCCCCACCATCCTGTCGGGTCGGGGTGGGGGGGCCCTTGGGGTTGAGGATTCAACCTTTTGGACGAAGAATAGGGTCATAACTCATAACTACTCCTCAACATAGCTCTTCCTTTTAATATGGATTAGTTTCGTTGTGTTTGTACTTTGTAGGCATTCTTCTGTATGAAATGTTCTATGGATATACACCCTTCAGGGGCAAGACAAGACAGAAGACATTCGCTAATATTCTGCACAAGGATCTGAAATTTCCAGGAAGCATACAGGTAAAAAATGACATGCATAAAAAATTACAGGTTTGTTTTGTTTTCATAATATAGTGAATTTAAAAATGTGATTTGTTGCAAGTGCAGGTTAGTCTGCCAGCAAAGCAGCTAATGTACAGATTGCTGCACAGAGATCCTAAAAACAGGTTGGGATCACGTGAAGGGGCAAACGAGATCAAACAACATCAATTCTTCAAAGGTGTTAATTGGGCTTTAATCCGATGCATGGTAATGTTCATAATTCCTTTTCTTACCAACATGAGTCTGCACTTAGGCAAAAACCGGTTTCGGGCAATTATGTAAAAAATCTACTTAAAGCGTGTTTGGGATAACTTGACAAATTGTCGATTATATGTATAATTGATTATTTATACTCGACTATAGTTTGCTGAAATGGTTGGAAAATAAATAATTTCGTTTGGGTGCAAAAAAAGAAAACACAAGGTAAAGATGGTCTATATCAGTTATGTGGTGTGCCCCTTCACTGTACCATCATCATAAGCAGGGACACTACCCTGGGCTTCCCTTTTGATATTAAGATAATCATGTATGCTTGAAGCATGAAAAAACATGAAAATGTGCCAAACACAGATTAAAGTGTGTACTGTATATGCAGAGCCCTCCAAAACTAGATACTCCTTATTCCCAAACAAATGGAGATGGGAAGGAAGAAAAAGCGGATTCTGGCATGGAGGACTTGCAAGCAAATATCTTCTAATGGAAGCAGAGGCAAAGCCTATACAACTAACATTCAACATTCAAGTGGTACTGCAACTGCATATTAATCTAGTAATGTCTCTACTAAGAGATAATCACTTATCTTTCCTGTTGCAGGCACGAAAGTGACATGTTTCTGGATCAGTGCAAGTTGTAGGGATGAAAAAGAAATGAAAGAGCAAATCTGGATTTCCTGCAGCTTTACATTCACTGTTTTGTCATTTTTATTTTTTTGTTGCTCTTTGGTAATTGTAAAGAAATTAATCTTTTTTTTGGGTTTCCTTTTGTTTACCATAAACAGTTTGATATGTTTATGCATTTTATGATGTTTACCATTTTTTAGTTGAAGTTCCCTATTTAAAATTTTGATTAACCACCCCTTTTAATGTGCTAAGAGCATCTCCAATGCTATACTTTTAACATTAAAAAGATAATGACACATGTTAAAAAATGAGTGGGTATGTTATCCACGTAGAAGCACTGTTACATAGAAGCACTATTACGTATCATAAATTTAAAACATAAAGACTCTGACTCATCGATGCATTTCAAAAGGCAAGAAGAATAGGTCAATACGGTGTTACAAGTACAAGTTTGCGGTGTATTTTGCATATGTTGGCATCGTTGCATTTAAAATCTTACGATTATTAAAAATATTATATTGTACACTTTGTATATGTTTTCTTTCATATGATGTTTTTTATTGAATTTATATTTTTTCAATATGATTTTTGCATCGTAAATTCATTCTGTTTAGGGCCTCCCAAATTCTGAAGACGCCCCTGCATATACACACTTATTATCCTTTCTTTAACTTTGTGATCTTCTAGACAAGTCCTTGAATTGTGACCTACCTTCTTACATGCGGTGTACAATGGAGCCATGGAGAAAGTGGTCCCTCTTTATTTGTCAGAGGCCATTCACAGGCCAAACTGAATAAACTTTTAAGTACATATTGGTTGAGTGTGTGAGATTTAGAAAGTCATGCACTTTACCACTTTTCATCCATATTGCACAAATAGCACGCTTGCAAGGAATGCCATTTAGGTCCCACTTTTTACAACTACAACTTCCATTTCCTATATCAAGATGTTGTTGATCATCCCACATTCCCCAAACCTCAAATAAATCTTCGTAACTTTCCTGACCTAAATACCATGCAGCTACTCTTTCATTTGCTTCAATCTTCTCAATGATTATTGGGTAAATAGATGTGTTCCATTTCTTTCCTTTACTTCTACAGTCATAAAATCTAGCCATAACTCATGAGTTGTTTTCTTAGGGTCTCACAAGGCATCTAATCAAGGGTTGATCTCTAGCTTCTAGAATAGACTTGGACTCGGGCCGGGTCGCCAGTTCTGAACAGATGGGCCTGGGACCGGCCCGGGTACCCACCGGATCCGGGCCGGGCCTATTATCAATTTTTTTTTCTCTTCCCAATTAACCCCCTCCCACCCCCAACCCCCCAAACCACCCCAAATGGCCCAAAATATCCAACCCAGCCCGAAAATTGAAAAAAAAATTGAAAAAAAAAAACAATTTTGGCCCGAACCGGGCCTGGTCGGGCCTTGTTTTGGGTGACCCGAGCCCGGACCGGAAAATCCACGGGTCGGGCCTACCCGGACCGGTCACTGACCGGGCCACCGGGTCGGGCCGACCGGAACAGTACCGGTTCCGGGCCGGTTCCGGGTCGGGCCACCCGACCCGAGTCCACCCCTATTCTAGAATCATTGAATTAAAACATTCACATATATTATTTGTCAGTATATCACATTGTGGGATGACACTAAAATGAGACCTTGACCATTCACTTGGATACTTATTAGACAACCACATAAATGCACTAAAATCGAGTTTCTTCATTTTTGTCATTGGTGAAGTGAACCAATTAATTGTAGTTGACCTAGACGCCCTCCAGAGACATCTCTTATGGCCTTCGCATAGTAATGATATTTCTTTGTAAATGTTGCACACAGAACCTATGATAACTTGCTGGTAAAACAGTTTGACAAACAAGTATCAAGCCTTTTTGCTTATCAGATGCAAGTGTCACCTGACTTTCGGTGACTGTTGTAATGTGAAGATCATTCCTAAGCAACTCTAAAAATCATGTCCATGAATCTTTTGTTTCTCTTTCCACAATTTCATAAGCTAATGGGAATATACTATCATTTGAATTAATTCCCACAATATTAATATCTGCCCCCTAATTTGCATTTCAATTGACAACCGTCCAGCCCAATAATTGGTCTATAGTATTTGTAGCCCTCTTTACGAGTCTCCCAACATATGTATATTCTTAAGAACCTGTTTCCTTCTCTCGTAACATTAATGTCACTAAGCTTAACAAGACATGTTGTCTTAGAATATATTTTTGGATTTCTTAACAATAACTTCATGGCTTGTTAAAGTCTTCCCCTTCTTCACCCCGAATCTCCGCTTTCGCCTTTTTCATTGCCCTATATGCTTGTCTCTTACTCAAATGAAACTTGTCACCTAAAGAGACTTTATCTCTAAATTCTCTAATCTTCCAAATACTTTGGTTCTTTATTTCATTTTTTCATCTTTTACCGACCTTTGAATCCGTAACCATGTTATTATGAAATGCCCATGAGCATACTTCATGCTTATCAACAAATCCTAGCACCCTCCAAGAAGAAGTGTTTTTAAGCTTTCTACAGTTTATTTTCCACGGGCAATTAGGATGTTTACATGAAACTGCAACTCTCACCTCATCGTTTTTTTTTTCAAATTTCAAATCCTTCCCATTGTTGAAAGCATAGTTGTGTATAGCCTCTTTAAACGCATCTCGGCTTGCAAATGTTAAACCGATGCGAAAGTTAGAATTCTTCATATCTACACAGGGTTTGAAAACGGGCCACTTCTTACCCTCTGTTCGCCTTCTGAATTTTTAGTGATATCACCTCTAGAAAAAATCAAGCCCTCATCCACTATATGTTGATGACTTTGATTTTCCATTGCGTAGTTACACAGTGTATCTACTCCTGCATATTCAACATCGAAATCAATAAACTTGTCAAAGTCAAGATTATCTAGCATTGTTTTGTTCATATCATAGTCACTGTCATACAAATCCTCCAGTTCAAAACTCATATGATCTTCATGTTCCTCCTCCTCAATGCTATGTGAAGTTGCTGCGTTCTCATGAATTGGATGACAAAATTCTGCATTTGAGGATTCAAGCGTTTCAACCCATATTTCAATCTATTTAGGCCTCACGCCATGGTCCATTAAACGCCAAACATCAGAATTAGTAAGTAGTTCACTTACGAACCCACAACATGATAAAGTGAATAATTTTGTCTCTAAGTAACCACAGCCCAACTTCTGGGACCATTCCCTGGGTGTAATTAAGCCCCACTCATCAATATCCATATAGTCCCACCAATTTGTTCCCACCAATATATCCCGCTTGTGAATTTGGATTAATCTTTCCGCCATGCTTCAACTTCAAAGTAAAGAAGCACTTTATCATCTATCATATCTGTGAGACAGAAAAGTGGAGCAATACTAATTCATACCGTCATTTTACATTTTAAAAAGAATTCCCAGCTAATGAGGTAATACGGCCCCGTTATGTTAGCATTTTCATATTAAAAGATTCTAAAACAAATCAATAATAAAGTGTTGGTTTATATAGTACCATAATGCGAAGCGACACCATTTCCATCTCTTCGTTGTTCCATTTATTCCGTCAACTTTCTTCACTAAACTTCCATGTTGAAGAAACCTTGGCAGAAGAGGTAGGGTCGAGAGTTTTGCAATGTTTCATTAGACTAAAATCGCAGAGGGTTTTAGAGTGTCGTTACGTTTGCAGAAGAGTTGGAAACGATCGTTTGTCCTAATTAACGGGGGATAGACTGTCAAAACAAAATAGGACTAAAGTTGATTGATACATATATGTGGAGGATCATAAATGAGCAAATATAAAATTGGGGACTAAACCAGGTCGTGCCACAATAGTCTGGGACCATTTGTGGCATTTTCCCTAGTACTACTATTGTTAGTACTCCCACAAATGCTTCTACAATTACTTTTGATATTTGTGTTACTAGTTACTTTCCACGTGTGCGTTGCTCGGGAGTTAAGTATATACTTATACAATTACTTATACGTAATTATATAAAAATTATAAAAATTATAAAAATTGATATTAATCAATTAACTGAAAATATTAAATAAAAAGTACGAAGACAATATAAGTATCTAAAATTATATTAAATATCTAAAATACGATGCCATTGTAATAACACTCTAGAAATAAATTTTAACAATTAATTGTGAAATATCGTACGAAAACAATATAAGTCCATGAAACTAAAAAGCACATATTACTATAAGTTTCTTTGTGTACAATATTTTAGACAGACTTGATTGATTATCCATATTTATCACAAATTATGAACTTCAACTCAGATTAACTTATTACTCTGGAGACCACCACCACATACAATTGATCATGTTAGAGTGCGTGGAAGAAGAACCCAACTTTACCAATGACTTCTCCTGAGTTGTATTAATGGTCATTGCATAATTAACCATTAATGAAAACTGGTTATGCTAAAATATTGATGGAGGTATAACATTTGAAGGTGTTAAAGTAAATATAGGCTAAGAAACTATTCACAAACATCTACTTTGTGCATCATTTGAACTTCAATAATATGACATCTGAATTTAATTAATTAAAGTCGTGTACAATCAAACAATCCTGGTCAATAATCTTTGTTCCTTATAAGCATCCCCAAACACCCTCACTTTCATTTTTAACTCCTAACTTGACACACTGAAACATTTCATGTTATTAAGATATTCTACAAAATATACACCATGTAGGTGGTCACTATCTCATGAGTTAGATGAAGAAACTCAAAATTAGCTTAGATAACACTTTAACTCTATAGATATACCTCACTCAACATATAATCATCAACTTTATCAATCTCGTCTATGATTGACTTTTTATACTTGTAGTATTCCTGGTTGATGAGGCGGGACAACTTAAATTAGGTGTATGCACATGCACTCATACGTACACACAATGTAGACTCACATTTGAGGCGCAATTCTATTAAAATCTATTTTAAACTCAAAACACAAAAACAATCAATAGCTTTTGTGTTCAAAGTTACATATTTTGTTTAAAAGTAAAGTTCACTTATTACAAATTTTATGAAAAAGAAATTTTTATAAATTACTTTTATCATCATCTCACTATTCTCTATCACTTTTTGTAGTGTCATACCAAGTGAAGTGTTTCAGCTTATTCCTACTTTAAATTCAACATCACATGTATAACTCTTTTCCTTAACATGTGCTATGTATCATCACTTTGATAACAAAGAGGCATGGAGCCAATTCGAGAACCAAACCAACCATGCACAGTTCTGGATAATCTAAATGAGATCGGGTTGATTTCGATCCTTTGGGGAATTCCTTTTACAAATCAAGTATAAAAATTGAAATTAATTCAAGGAAATATCAATCCCACATGGAGAAGTTCAAGGACTGAATACTAACATGAACCAATCAAGATGCACCACAACGTATCCAAATATGTGGTAGAAAGCTTGTACAATAGAAGTGTAAAGAATCTTATCATCGAGGCATTGATCAACCATCTTATTTACAAACATTATTTGCTAACAAGCCTTATTAGAAAAAGATAGAATCTGAATATATTCTCAAAAGTACAAAAAGATTGGTGTAGTTCTTTACAAATGCTAGTGGTTCAATTATTTTCAATGTGTTGTGCATTTAGGTGTAATAACATTATTCTAGAATCCACCCACAGAAAAACCAAAGCTAGTTCTAACTAGAAGCTTATGAAAACAAAAGACACATCACACATGCCATATATTATGTTCTCATAGCATGAGCTTAGAAGAAGAATATAAAAATAGTACTTCATCCATCCCACTATTATCGTCTCAGTTCCTATTTACTTGATCAACACAAATCACTCTTAATCTCTTACTTTATCAATTTTTTATCAAATTTGATATTGGTTCTTGCGACGTTGTAAAGCTTTAAATGTAGCTTCTGAATGTGTATTTTTTTCTAAAAATAATTTAAGTGCGGACAGAGATTCATTTGCTTTATTGTCAATCAAGTATCGTAAACTACAACATGACCATTATAGTGGGACAGAGAGAGTAATTTGGAAAAGTCATGCGACATTTATTTTTTCACACTTGAATATTTTTAGTATTCATATGAACACCCTTGAACGATAGTGACTTGAGCACTGTTTCGGTTTGATCTCACATATGGAGAGTTTTAAAATCTGAATACACTAATGAATATACTCATGTGCTTAACTCACTCGATCAAATGGTACGACGTGATATTATATGATCCACACTCGGTACATTTACGTTCTACATTGACACTTCATGTTTTCTGGTGGTACAACTTATCACATCACCCAATATAAACCTACCCTTGAATTGCATCGAGCTTATCTCACCATGAAATCACATTTTAAGATTAGTTAGCTTACTATTTAGGTAGCATCTTTTTTCACACTAATTAAGAGGGCAACAATCTGGCAACACAATTCATAATAATTTAATTGATAGGTAAAAAGGAAGCATATTGCAATAGTTATCAGCAAATCTTCACGCCATTGTTGCCGAGTTCCCTGTGCGCCACCGCACACTATCGATGCTGCCATGGTGTGCGGTCTCTCTTGCGCACACAGATCGAATGTTCTCTCGCACACCAGATTCATTGTCATTGATTCCTCTATACATCGCTACAAGGTTCCTCCTCCTTCCACTTCATCCACTTCTTCTTCCTATTCTTCCTCCTCCTCATCTTCAATTCCTTTGATTTTCCGAATCCTGACATATATTTTCCTGATTTTCCCTTGATTCCTATGTTTTTTTGGGATCTGACATTGATTTTACCAAAATTCAGACTTCTATTTTCTCTTTCCGACTTGTAATTTCTTAATTATAAAAAAAATCCGATTCTCCAAAACATTGGATGATGACTTCAGATTTTTCCAAGCTTATGACAGAAATGTGTATTATGACACTCCTAATATTGCATAAAAGCTTTTGTATATACCTATTTTTCTGATTTTTTTTTCTATTAGCTTTGTGTTTCTAATTTCGGAGTGTGTTAAAGTGCTTATTCCATTAAAAAAATTGAATTTTTGGTTATTGACTTCATAGTTTAGTCAAATTTGCAGCAGTTTTGTTTTTATCTTCCCAAATAAATCTGCCAACCTTATGATAGGTTTAAAACTCTATGTCCATGGCAGGCTTGAAATTAATCATCCAGTCTAAATATGCCAATTTAATGTCAGATTTATGCTGCTGGAGTTGTGACGGTGGCAACGGTGCATGGGGGTGAAGTGGTGGCCCTAGAATCAACACTGACACAAAAGGCGGTGATAGTGATTAGAGTGACGATGGCGACGGATGGCGATGTTGGTTAGAGCAACGACGGATGATGACACCGGTGTGGGTGGTGATGGATGGTGGCACTGACTGGGGAGCAGCCGGCAGGCGGCTCCAACGTCGGATGCGGTGACAAGTGATGAGCACTTTGTCGTGATATGCATCAAAATAATAAATACAATACAACACTTACAACACTTATACGTAGTATAGTGTAGTAAGGTTCGTATCCACAGGGAAATGAATATTTTTCTTTTACGTAACTAGTAACAAAAGGAGGGATTTAGATTGATTGATGAACTTTAAAGTATTTAAACACTAAGATGAATGACTTATGTAGTTTAATTAATTAGAGATGGAGACTTGATTTTGCTTATATCCACTTAATAAATGTTCATCGACCCCGATTATATCTATAACTATCTTCATCTCGAACACTCAATCATGGAGTATATACAATTCATCGAGGGTAGTTATTAATAACGAGACGCGTTCATTAATAAAATTTACTATCGAGTCAATATAGAACACGCGCTGTATATTAACCCGATAGTAGCAATAAACTTAAGATGAAAACGATTGAGATTGATAACCTCAACACAAGCGGTTTATTGGTTTAATCAATATAATTAATTCCTCATAGATTATTAACCATGAGATGCATGCATTAATAATCCAAATTTACTACCGTTGCAAGAACCGAATTAATAACAAGCGTATTAATTGATTGATTAATATATGAAACAAAACTAGTTGATCCTTTTAATGCTCAAAATATTAATATGAAATATGAATAGGAATCAATTAATGTTCAAGGAAGAAGATTAAAGAAAAATAACTCACAACTTACAATCCATTAAGCTTCAAAGTAGCAAAACCAAGATGGAAGAGTTTAACTCCTCATTTGGAAACTAAACATGATAAAAATATAAGAAAATACTTAACTAAACTGAGCTTAGAAGTGTATAGGAATTGGTGTTTTTATTGTGAAGGAAAAGGAATGTATTTATAGGTGTTTGTAGATGGCATGGTTGTCTACCCGATCAGGTATATAGGGTACCCGATCGGGTATTTTAGGTAGTTTCCCGGAAAGTCATTTTTCTGGACATACCCGATCGGGTAAGTCGACATACCCGATCGGATATGAGCCAAATCTTCAAAATCCTGCACGTTTTTTGGTCTATCCAGATTCTGATTTTGACACCCGAATCAACTCAATACCTGATCGGGTATTGCCTATGCCTGAACAGGTATATGAAATATTTTTTCAATCCTTTTTTATCTTGTCCTTTGAATGATCTTGACCTTTTGAACTTTTGGGATCCAATCTTGATCCTTTGAATGATTTTGACCTCTTTTAAGCTCAGAATAATTCTAATTTAAACAAACTAGTTTCTTACCCATGCGTTGCACGGGATAACAAAGTAACAAACAAATTACAAAACTACTTGAGTTGTCTATGAAGCGTGAAACGGTTCCACGGATTGATACTTCATTAATTGAACTCCATAACACAAAAAGACTGTATAAGAAGTTTAATAAACACACCATGATACACATTATAAATCATTGAAAGTCTTCTTTATACGACGTGTTTTATAGTTTTTTTTATCCTTCATCATTGCATGCCATGAACTTTAAACATCTAGGACTTGGTATCTTTTACACACATCTCTTCGATTTTAATAACATCTCACAATTTTGTACTTTTACCTATGTGTCACATGTGTATGTTCGTTCTAATTAGTTTACATTCATTGAATATAAAATTCTTTTATTTCATTCCACACTTGAATTTGAATTTAACTTATACCATAATCAAAATGAAAAAAAAAGATATTTTTTTGTCGAACATTACATTTAGTAAGCAAGTACCTTTTGATTACTTGAATAATTAATTTTTATAACTCTACTAAATAATTTTTAAACACCACTAACATTATTAATCATTTTTCATATAATATCTAAATAAATCACTTTCTAAAGTAGAAACAAACACGAACACTCTTTTAGAGCTTTTATAATGATTCAGAGTACATGTACATTTAGACAAAGTTGAAATTATAATTAAACAAAACATACTTTTTAAACACATTTTCCTTCTTGTTTTTATAAAGATTTAAAATTCACACCATTCAACAAATTTTTATACTCTAAATAATAGTGCATTTACATTATCTTTCCCTTTGCCTCATCAACATTACATTTATTGGTACGGGAATTGTCTTTAATATAGCGTAGGATGTGGAATAAGCAATATGAATCATAGAACTTTTATGGGAAAAAAAAGAAGATAATTGGAACACAAGATGTTTGATAGTATCACCATAAAAAAAATAAAAGGAACTTTTGATTCAAATGCAGTAGGATCAATATATCCATTGAACATACATTCTTAATAGTTTTGGTATATATTCTAATATCACACTTAAGCCTAAAATGAGACCTTCATCTAATCAAGTTTTTATTTATACCAAACGAATCCTAAATAAGCAAACTAAAAAGGAAAAATCCATTAAAGACTACTCCGAATACATCAAGAATCTCTCCCAGTGTCTCGTGAACTCATTCTTGATTTTCCGCATGACTTCATGTTCTCCAGCCCTTGCTCGTTGCCCAAGCATGCTATCAACCTGGTGCTAAATGACTAAGGATATGTACTTACTGGTGCCTTTTGTGTTGCTGTGTGTTCACCCTCCTTTTTCATCGGTGTACCTGGTTTTTCAGTTTCACTTTTACTCCCAAATAAAGGGTTTTCAGACTTTGCTTCAGGTTTTGGCTCAACAATGTCTCCTCCGCCAGTGACCTATTAGATACAAACATTTTTCAAAAAAGAGTCAACAGAAAAAATCTTACTCAAATTTTTAAATGGTAATGTCAAGATTGAAATTAAGAAAAAACCTTGGGAGATTCATAATTTGTTTCCAGCTTGAGGGTGTCTCGACCACCACTCTTTCTCACCTGGAAGACACTTAATGCATGGGACAAATTGCCTATAGCAGATATGGAATAAATAAAGGGAAAAATGTACTTTGGGGGGCTAGAGAATGTATAATGCTACAACAATATATAGAATTATTAGAATGTACACTTTTTGGATGACATAATAAGCTGTGAATTTCTATATTCTCGATCTCTGTTATTCATCAAATGGAAATGATATTGCAGACCATTATATCCTCAATGTAGTTACTCAAACCCATTGTATCCACTTGACAGATTGACCCTAAGTAAAGAAATATGTTGAAATATGTTAAATTTCAAAGAAGAAATGGTTGAAACGGAAATATGGAATGATATTGCATTCCAAATTTCTTCATTGCAATATCAAATGGAATGAAATTGTGACACTACTAAGACCAATGCCATTAAGCTCAACGAAAACTTCTGGCTGCCGCAAAGTTGAATTTTCAGACCCCCTTTGACTTACCATCAGGTTCATGGCTGCAAGCAATTGAGTTTGTGCAAGTGTTGAGAGGCAGTTTATAAAACTCTTCTTATGAGAGGCTGAAGAGTTGCTGTTTTTTTTTATTTAGATTGAGATCATATTTGATAAAATTAATTGAGAAGCAGTTTAGATGCATTACAAACTAAAGAGCCAGTTTATCAAAATTATAATACCTCCGTCCCAAAAAAAATTGTCATTTCATAAATTTTAGACCATGATTTTGATTAGTATAAGATTATGGAATTATAAATTTTATACTTTTATGAAAGTACTTTTAACAAAAAGTATTTTGGTGTCACTTTTATATTATAAATAATTTCCAATAAAAATATATAATTGATCAAAGTTTTAAAAATAGCAAAGTTTTTTGAGGCGGAGGTAGTAGTTAGTTCATTTAAGAAAATGAAATGATGAACAAAATCTGAACTGCTTACTTGAGATGATGCAACACATATAAACATTAAGTATTAACTTAGCACTTAGTAGATTTGAAAATGCAGCCTTTGAGACACAAAAATGCAGCTTTGTCACTATCCATGAAATCCGTAGTTTCATTCAAGTAGCATTAGAATTCCCAGGGTCGAATAGTTAATACTTTACCTTGACAATCTCACATCATTCCTTTGTGCACAATTCTGACTGCAAAGTTAACTACAGTCAAGTAGGATCAAATAGCTAATACATTTATTTAGTTATGTTCAAAGCATTTATTTAGTATAAAAAGATACTTGGGAAAACAGAGTATTTAGTTCAACAAAAGAAGATTGAAAAATCCAGTATATATGCTAACTTCAAATCTAAAAAACAAACTAATTAGAAGAGACATGCTTTAAATCAAATAAGCTGCATGAAAGCTCAATAACTTTGTTGGAAAAGAAAACATTAATATCAACATTAGATTTAGGCATTCAACGAAGACTAAGTAGGAGTTTTCATACAATCTAGACAAACCTTAACTTGATTTTTGATTTAATAAAGAAAGAGGCATGTATATGAAGTGACTGATACCAAATTAGTAGAATGGAATAATCTAATATCACTATATCAGTAATTGAACGTAAATACAATCTCCAAAGTATAACTTTGGAGAAAATGTAGTGAAACTGAGATTTCAAGTACTGAAACAAACAAAAATTCCATTAATCAAACAAAAACTACTTGGTTGAAGTTTTAAAGAAGATGAATTCAAAGTTCAAACTATTCCTTTTGGGCTATGATTTGGGAACACTAAGATCATAAGTAGTAATGCTAATTATCCTCCTGACCATGAAGTCTGATATGGTCTATATGAACTGCCAACTTATTAAATATTTATAATACTCGCATTAATTCTAGTCTAGCATTTGCAGAAGAGTTTTTGTAGTCAGGAGCTGCAGTTAGGAGTTTAATACTCAAAAGAAAATTGCAGCAGCTATATATGTCCGTTTGATATTGCATGAAAATGAGAGCTGATAAATGAAAGTAGATTAGTTTGATTTTATTCTATTATGAAAGATGGAATCTACTCTTGGAACAGGACCGATGCATAATAAAAAGGTCAGGGTTCACAAATTCAGCAGACATTAAGCATAAAATAAAACTAATGCTGAAAGCAAAGTATTGGTAAATTATATAGGGAGAGGCAAAGTGCACTCAATAATAAGGCCAGAAAGAAAGAAAAAATAAAGGGGAACCTACAGTATTTCTTTTCTACTACTCAAAGAAAATCACAGCAACTATATATGCATTTGGAAAGACCCCAAGAGACAAATGTGAACCCTTTTTAATCATTTCACAGGACTTTAACCCAATTGTGTGCCAATAATATATTGCACCTTGCAAGCTACTTGTATATATGCAAATTGTGTATCATCTTCCCTATCATATATTATGGGCATGAGAGAGTACAATAAAGATTCCTTGTTGATTAATTGAAGGAATGCTAACATATAGTTCTTCACATATGTTCCTAACAATCATTTAAAATATATTGTCCACTAATTTTTTAAGTATTGGGTGATTTTATAGAGGAAATAATTCTAATCAATCTAAATAAGTTTGCAATTTCATAGGAACTCACTATTATCTTAAGCAGGTTTTAAGATAACATAGCCAGTAACATAAAGTAAATAGATACAATGGTCGAAAGCACTGCCCAAATGGACAACAATTCGAGTCGAGAGCCGATAAGGTAAAAGAGTTAGCGACGGAATTGCTGCTCGTCTAACCGTTCCCAAACTTAGCGCGCTCATCAGAAGAGGTGTCACAATAGAAATCTCTGCAGTGAGCTTTTTGTTGTTACCGTGAATCCAGAGGTAGAGTAGGGTTGTGATCAGATATTCTCGCAGGTCGCGGTCATGCTCGGGCTTGAGTTCGGATTACGGGCCCAACAGTTTGGAGACTTTGAGAGCCATGTGGTAGGAGGATAGGAGGTTTTCAGAGAGCCAGAGACTTCTGAAACGTTAAAGAAGTAATTTCATGAATTTACTAAAATACCCTAAAAGTTAGGCGGGAAATCCACTTAACTCACTTAATATATATATATATATATATATATATATATATATATATATATATATATATATAGATATATATAGATATAGATATATTACAACTATCTAGAAAAATAAAGTAATTACACAAAAAGTGTGTAATTTCTACAACAATAAACAATAAAACTAATTAAAATGAAACTATACATAATAAAAATATAACAATATCAACAAGACAACAGACGAGGGGATCGGTAATACATTACGTTGTAAATGTTGACAGCATAAATATTACGGAGTAATTTAGTGAAGTTTGAGTATCACGATAATGATCCAACTAAAGCTTTTGGCACATCTCTCTATCTCAGTACCCACGCCCCAATTACTCAACATTCCAAATCCCATGCACCCTGCAATTTACACAAACAGATTCACTAGTTATAACAATTTTATATACACAACATTAGAAACAGAAAAGAGAAAGTCTAGAGGGCCTTATTTGGTTAGTACATTTTTCAAGCCAGATAACTTGTTTGATTGGGTCAAACAACTCAATTTAATGTTTGGTAAAGAGCATAATATACGAGCAAAACTGAAAATAGCATTCCTAATGAGTACTATGAGAATGAATTATTTGAAAATTAAGTGAAAAGACCTATGAGTTGGGGCCTACATCTTTGCTGCAATATACGGAGTATTATATACTCTCCCACCCAAAAACATGCTGCCAGTTTGACATCAATACATTATTTTTGCAAATGCAGGATAAACTTTATTGTGCCTTTCCAAGTATATCCTTTATATTAAATAAAAAAGTAAACATATCAATGATTGACTACTAAAATCCTTCCTTTTCATGAATATGAGAACTTCATTCAGGACATTCAAATTATATAGAACTTCTTCTGAAAAGGATTGAACTTGTGACTATAGCGCTCTTTAATGTCAAACACAATAAGTCAGGCCGTCAGGGGAAAAGACAACACTCATACTCTGGATCTGGACTCGACTATATGTGCATTAAATTTACAAATAATAGCTGCAAGTTGTTGCACATCCCAGCAGCCACACCCAGTTTCAGAAAAATGAAGGATTTTACAAACTATCCATTCGCTTCACATTTACTTCAGAACTAATTACCCAAGGATTAAATTTCTAAGAGATGAAATGTTTCCAAATTTAATAAACACTAGAGGAAGGAAATAGTATCCTTATAACTTTAGACAACGAAAAATTTACATTTAGGAGAAAACTACGATGATGATTATCAAGAACAAGAATTTAGTCTAATAAAGTAAAAGAAATAAGACTATAAGAGTACTAGAGTAAATTTTTGGAGTATGTCAATGTGCTCCTTTAGCAGCATGCTTGAGGTGAATGAAGATGCACGATTTGCATCATCTACCCTATGGTTATGAGATGCAATTAGTACATGCGATCATCCACTTCAGCAACGCGCTGTAGCACATTCACATACTCCATATATTTTCCGATGTCACCTTCAACTCCTCAGTTTCCACCTGGCGGAACTCGTTTATGGTCATGATCTTATCAACTACATCATCCACCACACATGTTCGATAAATGCTCGTTTCACCAGAAGCAGTATCTGTGGCTTGAAATGTTATGAAAAAGATAAACCCACAAGCTCTTTTAAAATTAGCCCTCAACGTCTTGTGAAGCACAAGTTTTGCATCCTGAGTGACAACAATCAATACTCAATTAAACTTATAAGTAGGACAAAGCTGAAAACATACAGTGATCGAAAATCAAAATAGTGTGTGATTATAACAATACCTTCCCTTCGTTGTGTTCATCAATAGCAAACTTTAAAGAATTCTGCATCTCTCTATAAGCGTAATGATCGTAATCATGGGATTCTGGACCTGGTGGCAGAAGTACTGGCACAGCGCCATTGCAAATATAAAAATCCGGCACCATGAAGTCTATGTTGTAGGGCTGAAACGAAATAGAAGCAACAGCGTAAAAGATTCGACGGATGTATATACTACACAACAACAAAAGGGTAAGCAAATTAATGGATAAATCGAATATAGTTTCGAGGAATTGCGTACTCCAACTTCATTCAAGGCGTCGATATATCGTTTCACTTCCCTTTTAAACTCCTCGTCATAATCATCGTAGTCTTCCTCATTGTAGGTGTATTTATAGTTCACATGATCTATCTCTACACTCTCCAACTCCATCTCCGCTTCTTCGTATTCAGAAGACTCTTCCTCTTCTTCGTCGTATTCAGAAGACACTTCCACCGCCGCCTGCTCCCCAATCTTCAACCTCTTGGATGGCAATCCGAAAATTCTCTGTCGAATCATCATTCAGAAACCCTAGTTTGCCGAATCTTCAACCTCTTGGATGGCAATCTTGGATGGCAATCTTGGATTTTTCTTCCGTTTAAAACCGTGTCGGGACTAGGGATCTCAGCATGTATTTGTACTCCCTCTTACTGCATGCGATAAAAGTAAGAATAAAGTAAGAATGAAGTAGAATCACACAAATTTTAACAAATTTGATATGGAACAATTTTAATGAGACGACAGATAAAGTAAAATGGGACAATCATAGCGGGACGGAGGTAGTAATAGTTTTTATTATTATAAAATAAAATGAAGTTATAAGAATAAATGGTGTAAATTGAGATAATTACTCATGTAAAAGAAATCACATAAAGATCCAAGACAATTTGTTAAAATACATCCAATAAGATATACTCCCTCCGTCCCTAATCTTTCTCCCTTTTCGGCTGGGCACATTTATTAAGATAGTGGGATTTGTGTGGTGGAGAGTTGTGCAGAGGAGAGAGAAATGTGTAAGAATGGTTGTGAACCACAAATTTTTTGCAAAAAGAGGGAAGAGGAGATAATTTTGGGACGGACGAAAAAGGAAAGTTTGAAGATAATTTAGGGACGGAGGGAGTACTAATGTCAAGAACTTTGTATTACTCGTGAGAATTAAACATTCTTTAGATAATCAAACATATTTAAAATCATCACTTATTTATATCACTTTTTTTACACAAAATCAGGTTTCCTCTCTCGTTAGTTATCCGATAAAAATTACTCCATATTTGATGAAGATTAAGACATAGTCCAACACTTAAAGTTTTCGATTCTAACGTAACTAGAGATGGCAGTTCCGGCCGACCGTTCGATACCAGCACCGAACTGGTTTGGTCAAAATGGGGAAAACCGGTTTGATCGGGGAACGGGTATGGGGCGAGGAATACCCGGTTTCTTAAAATGGATAATGGTGCGGTTATGGATCTATACTAATCCGCCCCGTTATCCGCCCTGAAATCGCCTCGTTCACTAATTATGCGGGTATCCACACCAATACTTGATCCGTAACATTATTAATAAATTATAACTCTTTATATATTACGGAGTAGAATAATAAGTATATATACTAAATTGTGTACACTAAATCATATATATCATATAAGTATATAAAGAATATTACACCAGAGGCCCACTTTTAAAAACTCTAACAACCATAACTGATAGTCTTATCACGGAATACGGATTTACGGCTCAGAGCTCTGCTTCTTAATGGTGAGAACAACTCTCTTCGATTCTTCTAGATGGAATGATACTAGGCCTACAGTTCGGTTCTACCACCGGTGGCTTCTAATCTCTCTCATTATCAAGGATTCTACTCAGTTCCTGATAGAGACCTACCTATTAGATTAATAATAGAAAGAATAATAATAATAGTTGTAATAGGGGCTTAGGCAGTATTATAGTATAAATAGATGTAAAGGGAAGGTAGTAGGGAGGCTTTTGGACTCTTGTCTTGGGACTTGGGAAGACTGAGACTAATAGTCTCTTTCTTTGGGAGCTTCGGCTTTGGGGGCATCTGCCTTTGTACAGATTACTGTTCATCTTCTTGGATTCAATAAAGTTTTTCCATTGTGTTTCTTATTCATCCTTCGGTAATTGTTCTGTATTCCTAGAGGTTCTAACATTGGTATCAGAGACGTCGATCGCTGAGATACCCACGCGTGAAAATGGAGGGATGACTCACTGAAGTGGAGAGGAATCAGCGTGAAATGCAAGCTAGGATGGCGAATATAGCGGCTAATATGGCCGTGATGCAAGCGGCGATGCAAGCTAGCATCGCAGAATTGAAGGTCAGAATCTCGAGGAGTCATTCGCATAGATCAAGTACTGCGCACCATGGACACGCAAGAAATTGCGATCAGGGAGAGAGTGGTAACATAGCACGTCGAACGGGGAACCCTAGAAATTGTTCATCGCAGTTGATCACTAGTTCGCATATGGAGTCGCGAACTGTTTCTTCTGTTTCGCACTCACAGAAGGCTTCACGCGGAAAAATGGGGAATATCGCGGAAAAGAGGGAGCGCGGAAGTTCGCAGACTGAATCGCGGAAAAGAGGTAGGCCGCCATCGCTCAAAAGCTCGCAAACAAAGTCGCGCACTGTTTCTCGTAGTTCTCAGTCGCGAAGTGTTTCTTCTAATTTCCGATCGAGAAAGATTTCTTCGACGGCTTATTGTTCGTGTCCAAGAAAAACGCGGGTGAGAGAAGAATCTTCATCTTCGTCGCTGAGTTATTCTATCAGTTCACATGCTTCTTCACTTGCGGACTCTCACCGCTCGTCAGCACACAGATCATCATCGCTTGTGGTTCCACACCGTTCGCAAGGGTCATCAGCTTCAAGAACTTTTGACATAGGCGCATCAGAAAAAGATATTCAGGGGACCCCACCAACAAGAATGAACACAAAATTAAACCCGGTGGTCCCTTCAGTTACGGAACTAGACTCTGAAGAGGAGGTTAATCAATCTATGAGATTTTCATCAGACAATAAGGAAGGTATTATCCCTTTCCTTACAACTCTGGACAGAGGATTGCAGAGGGAAATGGAGGGTTATTCTTTTCCTGGCATAGAAGTTTTTTTTGGGAAAACTCACAAAGGATGATGCTACATCAATTTGGATTCTGTGCTTCATGATTCCTCCAGCCTGAAGAATGGCAGCAAAGATTTGAGTTTTTTTAGAAAAAACAAACTTCCCTCATCTAACAAGAAAGGATGGAACCAAATAAGTAGGGTTGATGTACTTGGTGATGTAGGAGCTGACTTTGTATTCTCAGCCTCAAAGTGTTGCTTGGTTTATGTGTTTCTTCATAGTAGCAAAGATTGTACCATTTTGAAAGTGGACTCTTCTTTTAAGAAATGTGCAGTGGCAGAGAGTTTTTGGTGGTGGGTTTCTATGGAAGTGGTGGGGTGGCATGATGTTGGGTGTACTCAAAGTGCACCAGTGGATGACATTGTTTTACTGAAAAGTATGATAGAACCACAGAAATTTGATGTTAATCCTAACCCAAAGGTAGAAAAGTCAAATGGAGTTGAGCAGGTTAAAAGGGATGAGAATCCTGATGTTCAGGACATGAATATAAACTCTGCTGCTGTTGTAATGGGTATACCTCAGGAAAGAATGAAAATATGGGTGGCTATTGAAGGCCTTAAGACTAAGAAAGAGAAAGATACTTCACCAGAAACATTCTATGTTGCAGAAACATCTCATAGTTGTGAAGATCTAATACTGAAGCTCTTTGCTCGGAAACCAGTGAGATATTGGGAAGGTAGGAGTGCAAGGAAGAAAGAACAAAAGATCTTGGCTGTCTCCTACCGCCCACCTTGAGGGCAAGGTGGATGTTTAGGGAGGGAGTATTGATAGAGACCTACCTATTAGATTAATAATAGAAAGAATAATAATAATAATAGTTGTAATAGGGGCTTAGGCAGTATTATAGTATAAATAGATGTAGAGGGAAGGTAGTAGGGAGGCTTTTGGACTCTTGTCTTGGGACTTGGGAAGACTGAGACTAATAATCTCTTTCTTTGGGAGCTTCGGCTTTGGGGGCTTCTGCCTTTGTACAGATTACTGTTCATCTTCTTGGATTCAATAAAGTTTTTCCATTGTGTTTCTTATTCATCCTTTGGTAATTGTTCTGTATTCCTGGAGGTTCTAACAGTTCCTTCTTTCTTCTATTTTCAGAATCACTCATTTGTTTTTTACAAATCATAAGCTTCAATGTAGCAAAACCAAGATAGAAGAGTTTAGCTCCTCAATTGGAGACTAAACTTGCTAAAAAAATATAAAGAAAACAATTAACTAAACTGAGCTTAAAAGTATATGTCAATCGGTGTTTTTAATAGGAAGGAAAATGAGTGTATATATAGGCTTTTGGAGGTGGCAGGATTTGAAACCAATCGGGTATATATGATACCCGATTGGATCTTCAAGGCAGTTTCCCAGAAGATGACTTTTCAGGACATACTCATTCGGGTATGAGTCAAATCTTCAAAATCCTGCACGTTGTTTTGTCTTCTAGATTTTGATTTTGACACTTGAATCAACTCAATGCCCGGTAGAAGTATTTGAAGCATGTCTTGAAGCACGTATTTGAATCAACGAACGGGTATATGAAATATTTTTTCAATCTTCTTTTTGTCTTGGGGACTTGCACTTTCCTTGATCTTTTGGGGTCCAGTCATGGAGAAGCACGTCTCAAGATCACTCATGTCAAAGGCAAGTTTTCTTGTGGTTAATACAGAGTGTATATATTACAGTTTGGTGAGTTTGTTTGATGTCTATCTTGTGATTAATACAGAGTGTGTATTACAGTTTGGTGAGTTTGCTCGATGCCTAATTTTGTAGGTTTTTACATCATTAAGATTCAGCAAAATTGGATACAGAGTGGGTACGGTGTATACGAAATGGGATGCAAATTGAAAAAGAAATTGGGGCTTTGAATATATAATTTACTATGAAGGATGTTTACATTAGGATAAGAAATTGGTTATTTAAGAGCATTTGGGGAAACAGTTACCCGTGGGTAAACCGATTCCCCATTGGGGTGGGTACGGTTCAAATAAAATTACCCAAACGGGTAATGGGGCAATTTTGGGGCACACATTTATCCAATGGAGCAGTTTCGATTTTATGTGTACTTGTCCCCGATCTGACCCGCTGCCATCCCTAAACGTAACATGACCTAAACTCATGGATCTGGAACCCCTGCCTTGTTTTTTTGTTGGATGAAACCCCTGCCTTGTTTTGCAGCAAGGTAGGGTGCCCGGCCTATTAGAGACGTCTGATCCAAAAACTAACGGCGGTAGATCTTTGAGGAACACATCTCAAGATGCTTTCTTCGTCATCTGGATGTCCATTGCCGCAAGGCACCTCTGTCGTGTGGCAGAGAATCTCAAAAAAAATATATTCTTTTTTTTGTTCCTTTTGTTTACCTTAAACAGTTTGATATGTTTATACATTTTATTTATGATGTTTTCCATTTTTTAGTTGAAGTTCCCTATTTAAAATTTAGATTAACCACCCCCGTTAATCTGTTATTGGGCCACGTATGGC